AAGTAGTGGTGTTTTGTTGCTCAGTGAGCCTGGCTGGGATAGAGGGAGGAACCTGACAGACGCCCTGGGCAGGTGAGCCTAGTCCCAGACGCCTGGCCAAAAGGACTTTTGTGACTTATGAAACAAACTTTAACCCATTTAAAAAAAATAGATTTGAAAACATTCCCTATACTTGTGAAGCTATGCATTTAAACATGACAGGTGCCAGTAAATTGTTTACTTACGTCATTCCAAGAATTCTAGTATAAAAATCTAATGACTTCTTAGGATCCTTAATTCGAAGCATGGTCTGCTGCAACAGAAAATCCTAAGGAGAAACAGTATCTATTAAGCACCTTGAAGTTTTACCACTTTTTTTTTTTACCAACGTTAATTGTGCTTTCTGTAACAAGATGCAAACAGTCCACCATTGTACCATAATGTTTAAGAAAGCAATTTTGTCCCCTCAGCCTGATCACCTGGAAACACTTCCTACACCTATTGCCTATACCTGCCTATGGTTCTCTGCCCAAGGGTGTTTTCTGGTTACAAGAGCAGGCCCCTGGGAGGGGCAGGTCCAAAGAGCCAGGGAGTTTACACCCCAGGAATGACCCTCAACCAGTAACGGATAAAAAACCCTGGCTTCCTTGCCCCTTATTGGGACAATTCTGAGACATGTCCCACGCAGTCTCTCACACAGGCTTCTCAGCAGCACTGAAACCCAGCTGTCCTCAGTGGTAATCCACTGTGACACAATTTTTATTGCTTCTGTTCCCTAGTCCACAGAGATTTCTTTGACTACCCCCCAAATAAACTACTTCGAACCAAACCCTTATTTCCAGTCAGCCTTTGGATAACCCAAACTAAGGCAGTGACGTTACAAATAAAGAGTTCAATCACTCACATTTGTTGAATGAATGCATAAACGCCCTTTCAGATCTATTTATTGGAGATCACAGCAAGGAGTTACAAGATCCTAGACTCCTAAATAACTAAAAGGGTAAAAAGCTACTGTCTCTAACACCATAGTGCAACTGTCCACTTTAAAAACCAGGAAGAGCCAGTGGAGAGACTGGTATGAGAGAGTGAAAGACTTACTAATCCTGAGGGTTTAAAAAAATTAATTGAGGGGGTGGCCAGTTAGCTCAGGTGGTTAGAGCGCAGACTCATAACACCCAAGTTGCCGGTTCAATTCCCACATGGGCCGTGGAGCTGCGCCCTCCACAAAACTAGATTGAAGACAACTACTTGACTTGGAGCTCATGGGTCCTGGAAAAACAATGTTCCCCAATAAAATTTCTTTTTTTTTTTTTTTAAGATTTTATTGGAGAATCGGAGAAGGGGAACAGACAAGTTGCTCTCTTTTTGTTCTTCAATCTACTTGTGGAGGATGTTGCTTCACTGGCCCATGTTGGTATTATCATTGCTCTCTTTCCCCGGTGAGGCAGTCGCTCGCCGGCCATTGGACAACTGCTCACAGCAGCTCACGGCAGCTCACGAAAACTCACGCCTGCTGCCAGCCAGCCCACTGAAGCCTACGCCGTTGCCAGTGACTCACGGCAGCCCAACTCCAGGTCAAGCTGTTGCTCACCATCTTAACTGTAGAGGGCGCAGCATCACTGGCCCTCACGTGGGATCCAAACCACGGCCCTGCTGCTCAGAGCTGGCCTCCCGAGGCAGCTCTTAACCAACGCGCCACTCAGCCGGCCCCCCAATGAAATTTCTTAAAAAATTAATTAAAGTTATGGCCTATAAAGTGAGTTCAAAGAGAGTAAGATTATTTTGCAAGGAGTACTGAAAAATGAGGATGTATACAATACAATTTCCTTTAGATTGTTGAGGACTAAATGCTCCAAGATGACCTCATTCATAATCAATCAATGATTGAAGCATAGCAAATGGAAAGTTTCTAGAGTTCTGTTCTAAACCTTTTAATTATCACTGCTACAAGATATGCCTTGGCCCACTAAGATCTATGCACTGACTTAGCACAAATAAGGTTTACTCTCATTGTTTATAATAAANTCAGGTCGTCTAACTTTTTCACGCAGCCTTTTCAGCACTTTCAAATAGTAAACTTGGTTAACTGTTTGTCCAGTTGGTACAAATTCATAATGAATAATCTCACTGATATTAAAAAAGGTTAGCAGCATCGTTGCAACAAGTTTGCAAACTTAGTTGTCAGACCTCCTATATAAAATCCAACTTCCTTAGATGTGACACTCTAAGCTCTCTCCATGAGCTGGGTCCAATTTACCAATCTAGCCTTCCCTACTACTGCTCCACTGCTTATATAACCTGAATTTTACTGCATCTTTCTGCCATTTCAAATATTTGCTCAGATGTTTCCTCCACCTAGAATGCCCTCCCATGTAATTCTGTCTCCCATGTGGTATTGGAATCCCATCTATCTTTCAAGGCATGGGTCCACCCCTCCTTCTGCCTGATGCACTCCTCAATCCCCACAGTTGAAATACAACCTTGAATTATATCACTTTTCAACTTGAGAGAACATCAGCGTACTTTATCCTCACAGCAGCTCTCTTTCTGCTGCTTTTACAAACTCAGCCCAAGTGCCCTGCTAAAATCACTGCAGCCAATGACAGAACTGGGTACTCAAATGGAGGTCTTCAGGCTCCAAACACCCTGTGCACACACCATACCACGGATGCCACCTTCAAAAATCTCTACGTTCTGTGCTCCCAGGGTGCTTTATAATTTCAACCGCACATTAACCCCAGTTCCATCTTATGTTAGTGTTGTTGTATGTTGGTGAAGGGACCTCATCTTGTTCATCCCAGTATCCCCCAAACATTCTTTACATATAGCAGGTGATCAGCAATCAGGCTGAATTTAATTCATTTAGGTTTTTACTTTCCTTCATTCCAAGTTCCAAAATTATTGCTAAAGTCAGTAGTCCAAAAGCCAAATAGGGCGGAGGCTGGGAGTGTGGACTCCTCCCTGGGCAAGTTACTCAACACTGATGCGCCAGAGTCTTTTTATTTGTAAAACGGAGATAATAATTATGCTTTCCTGGTAGGGTTGTTCTGCGGATTAAGTTAAATAACGTACTTAAGACAACAACCCAGGGCGTGTCACACTCAATATGTACCAGCTGCTAGTATACATTCCACTTTATGTCCCCCACATGGTACATAATTCAAGAGCCAAAAATTACTGGTCTCAAAAAATAAACTACTCCAAATCACCAAGAGAAATTTAGATTATGAAGAGTGCAAGGCAATGTATTTATCACATTTTATAAAGATCTCCCTGAAACCTCTTAATAGCCCAGTACATAAAATCCCCAGTTATCTGGGAAACTGATTTATAATGAATGACTCTATATTATGTGAAATAACTAGGTATAACTATCAGAAGCTATACAAGTGAGATGGGGTGAAAGGATATATATATATATATATATATATAAATAATGTATTATATATATAATAGATATAATAAATTGTATCTATATATACATACACTCATATACACATATTATACTACCTATCTGTGTGTGTGTGTGTGTGTGTGTGTGTGTATACATATATATAGTTGACTTCTTCCCCCTTAATTCTGCACTAAGATTTTTGCTAAGCTAAGTACCAGGTGTTAGTCAAAGGCTTTAGCAATCAGAGGTGTATGACTCTTTGCCCTGAAGGCAAAGAGGACGCATGACCAAGTCATCCACCCTACTTAAAAGGGCTGCATAGAGCTCATTCAATCTCCAAGGAATTTAGAAATTCCCCAGTCTAATGAAGAAATACAAAGGCGTTTACTGACACTGATGAGAACACTGGCATATACTCCCGGGGTGACTGCTGTGTCTAATCTTGACAACGCAGGGAGGCACCACACCTGAGTGAGTTACACTGACTCTTAGTACAGACATGTTAAGTAAGGTGGAGAAACGAAAGCCTTCATATGCAACAGGTCATTCCTAGAGTCTAGAGGATCTCTGCTGCAATGAGTGGATCGGTGAAGATACTTCTAAGATTCCTTTCGGATCTGAGCTCCATGAGTCTGTCGTCTCTCCTGGGGGGGCCATCACACACAGGGAGGACAGAAGTGTGGCCGTGACCACCGTAAAAGCCAAGCAAAAGCCAAACTCTGGGCCGGTTAAACTCCGAGGGATCAACTAGTTTGAAAGCGTGAAGCCTGAGGCCAGGGCGGTTACATAAAAATGATCCAAGCTGGGAGAGGCCGGCAAGGATGGAGACTTCGAACCCTGTTGGGAGTTCTGAAACTGCTCTTCTTACCGCCACGATTATTGACCCAGAGAACACGCCCACTCACAGACAAAGGATCTGACCCTTCTTCCAGTTACCATCCCCAAATTAAGAAGTTAATGGAAGCTGGGTTACAGGCTTTGAAGCAACCTGAAGAAATGGATCCTCTCAGGGATCCCCCATTGGCCACTGTTAGCCCTCTCCCAGCCCACTCCGGCCCGCCCAGGGCGGGCGAAGCTGCAGGAGCTGTCAAATGGAGTTCGAATCCAGCCGGAGCTGAGCCCGGGGATCTGCCCCCTCCCAGAACCCCAACCGAGCTACACAAGGCCCCGACTGGGGAGAAGTAGGTTCTGCGCTCACCTTAGTGCTGGGGTCCGGGTCTGAGCAGCAACCGAGGGCAGCCTGGTCGGTAAGGCCGCCAGACACGGGCTGCGGTTCTGCCATGGCCGCACTGCTGTATCACCGTCGATCGTCCCCAACAACGCGGTAGCCGCCCGCACTCCGCCTAGCTGTACTGCCCTTACTAGCGACCGCGAGTCTGTGCTGCGAAGCAGCTGACTTCCAGCCAATAGCTGTGCGTAGAGTAAGTTGGCTCTCTGCCAATTGGGTCCCAGTGAGTCAGCGCCTCCAGCCACAGGGCTCTGTGCCCTAAGACTACAACTCCCAAGGTGCCTTGCGCATATGGAGGCCCGCTTGACGGTAGAAAAAACATATCCTGAAACACCTGCGGGAAGCATAGAGTGGTTTCTCTNAAAGGTATTTACATTATGATTCATAACAGTAGCAAAATTACAGTTATAGAGTAGCAACGAAAATAATTTTATGGTTGGGGGGTCACCACAACATGAGGAACTGTATTAAGGGGTCGCGGCATTAGGAAGGTTGAGAACCGCTGGTCTATACCCTTAGCATTTCCAGGTTGCTAGCTTCTTCAGTTCCAAGTCTGGGTTCTGTGAGGCAAAAAGAAAACCCAGGAAACTTCCCATCATCTTGTTCCTAGGGTCTCAAGGTCCCTAGCCAGTTTGCCTTCTCTCCACTTTCAGACTCTTCCTATGTGTGTTTTATATGTAATGTCCAGAGGTTTTAGCTGTATTTAGCAGGAGGAAAAGGGAAAAGTACCATATTTCCCCATGTATAAGATGCTCCCATGTATAAGACACACCTTAATTTGAGGGCCCGAAATTGAAAAAAATGTATTACATAAAGTTATTGAACTCAAGTTTTATTCATCATAAAATTCATACAACTAACTCCTCATCACTTGCGGGAAATGCAAGTAAAAAAATCTACAACCACTGTTTAAGATACACCCAGTTTTTAGACCCCAACTTTTTCGAAAAAGGTGCATCTTATACATGGGGAAATACGGTATGTATACCCCATCCCCAGAAGAAGTCTCCGAGTGGATTTTATACAATTGCCCACACAATGGGATATGTTTGGTCACCATATGTCTGATTTTAGGATATACCAAAACTTGTTCAAAAGCCAAAACAATGGCAAAGAAGTTGCTCGACTTTGTGTTTTCTACCTCTCAAATTCTGTTCGTAGTGACGAAGACACTCATTTCTCTAGCACTGTTACTAAGGAGCTTTGTATAATATTACATCTTACTCAAAATCAAAATCTTCATTGCCTCTATCACCTTTGGGCTTCAGAAAAGAGAAGATTCAAACTTAAGTTCGGCATGAGTCAAATTTTCAGAAACTTCAATTTCTTTGGCCTAAAGTGTATGTTTTGGCCTTAATAGCAGCGATGCCAACTTCCTTTGGAGCCCATCAACACAATATGGTGCAATATATTTTTCTCTTTACTCCCTCCTTCTAGTGTTACTTCCCTGACTCAATCTATGTCAGAATGTGACACATGCTCCAGAAAATAGTTCAGCCGCTCCCTTTCCATTCATTCTATCTTATCTACATTGGTCTCATGTGGTCTTTTCCTTTTCACTCTATAACCACAGCCAGCAACATACTTCACGTATAATTTCCCTATAGATAAGGGACACAGAAAAAGCTAAAAGACACAAAGGAAAGTATTTTTTAATTTAGAAATTACCTGTGATATTAGTAAATACACCTTACAACACATAAGAGAAACAGGAAAATTCTACAAGCCCTCAGTATCATGAGGCCTTTCAAATCTCATGCGAAGGGAGAAAAAAACACACACAAGTGTGAGAGAAATGATTCTTCAGAGGCAATAATGGTTCAAATGCTGACTCTATCACTGTTGCCTTGAGTATATCATTACTTTTCTTAAACCTCAGTTTTCACATTTTTAGAATGGTTTTAGAATAGTTCTCAGCTCCTAGGATTGAGTTGAAAAGTAAGTGGGATAATGCATGAAAGTGCTTAGCACAGAAAGTGCTTAGCATGGCCCAGAGCAAACTACTTCACTCATTATTGTTCTTGCTGATATTACAAAATACACCCAGAGGTTCCACTACCAACTATTGCTTTTGATTCTCAAATTGCATTCCCCAGGTTTTCCCTCTAACCTCAGCTCTGGACTTAAGTCTTCACCAGCCTACTCATCAATTCCACCTGTTGTCAAAATATTAAATTCATCACAGCCAAATTAAACACTTTCCTATATTCCCATCTCTCGTTAGCACAAGTCAGGTACCAGGAGTCTTCCTAGATTCTTCCCTCTCCACTCTGTAATCTAATCTGTGTCCCAGCAACATGACTGCTTAACCCCGGCTGGAATCTTTCTCCTTGCCTTTCTAATGATCATTACGTTGCTTATGTCCTCATCACGTCCTGCCTGGGTGATTGCAATAGCCCCTCTGGTCTCTCTGCTTCTTGTAGGCTTACCATGCAATCCACAGTGATCTTATAACACTTCCAGAGTGATCTTTCTATAATGAAAACCCAGTGGTGTCATTTCTGGGTTAAAAATCAATCCTTCAGTGGTGGCTCACAGCTTTTAGGAGAAAGTACCAAGAGCAAGCACATATGATTGATGCATAGTTCTCTACCTTCATCGTTTGTCACCACTCCCCTAAACTGGTAATCTCAAACATTTTTTTTTTCATACCCTTGTCAGTTGAAAAAAAAGCATGCACTCCCAATAAATGTGTATTTATTTTAATTATGTACAAGTATAGATATAAGAATAAAATATATATGATAAAACATATTTGCCCAACAGAAATCTTTACAGGGTGAGAAAAGCAAGCGAACATAATGGAGTGCTCACATTTTCTTGGAGCATCCCAGCGAATGTATTGTGTACCTTCCCCTCAGGTCACACTGCCTATAGCTTCAGTCTCATTGTATTACCTGTAAGTCCCCGCATCAGTTCCTCGATGTCATTGTGCCTTTATATATACTACGATTCCTTCTGCCTAGAACAGTCATTTGTCCATCTGGCTATTATCCCTCTTTCTTCCTCCTCTCCATTCTTTCTTCCCTCATCCCTGCACCCAACTCTACCTAGGTACCTCATTTGTATTTGGTAAAACTCAGCCTAAATCTAACCGACACTAACAGTTTTCCCCGACCCCATCACCTACCATTCAGATGGGGTGGGACTACAAATTATTGTACCAAAAGACACTGATGGAGACAGTCAGTTAAAAAAAAAGAATGAATTTCAGATTACCACTTGGGAAAGAAGTATTTGGCCTTATG